TGACTGATTATAGTGACCAATTCATATAATTGTCGACACTATTTTGTCTTCTTTGCCTTTTAGAATATGTTCCGCTATATAATCGAGACTGGTTATTCTCGGGTTGTCGCATATGTTTTGGTCACTTCATGAATACAGGGGCTGTAGGGTAGCCGAGTAGTTAAAGCGTTGGCTCGTAACGCTGAAGACCGGGTTCGATTCCCAACATGGATACAATGTGTGAAGCCCATTTTGTGTCCCTCGCCGTGATATTGCTGAAATATTGCTAAAAGCGGCGTAAAACCATACTCACTCACTCACAAAAACAACTCCGAATGCAAAGCTTTAAATGACTCAGTCAGCTTATCTATTATCGAGTATGACGAGGAAGAAGCAACTTCTGATCTTTACCAAGATGAAAGTATCTAAGTATCTGAAAGTACTCAAACTGAAAGACAGTCTTTTCCGACAAAAAGGCAAGCTTACTGCTTTCTACAAATACGAATAGTCGAAGACAGCATACCGGTATGAGTTGTTCCCCAGTTGGTTTGATCTCGCACACATAACCGCCACTCCTACAGGCGTTTAAGCTGGATGTATTGCCAAAATATATATGTTATGATATTAAGGTTAATATACACCATGATGATAGATGTTGTCGAATGTTAACATAAACGCTTACTTCATTGTGAACGTTCAACAAAGACCGCTATAGTTCATAATGAATGGACTGTTCAAACAGCTGACTTTCAGTACATGTTTACCTGAACAAACACGTACTAATGATGACATGGGGCAAATAAGCATGGCGATATACTTCTTCTACAGTATCTTCGTACATGATATAAGGTCTGTCGTTCAGACCCTGAAACAAATATATCCAAGAAAACCCTTACTAGTCTAGGATATGTGGCAAGTCTAGATTTCCACAGTTTCTGGGAAAATGAAGAAAGTCTCAGGGTTCCTTTCCATTATATTTTATTTTTTATTATGAACTGGTTTTTTTGTAAAATATGTTCATTTCAGAGACTAGATGTTAGCCTACTTCGTATAGTGTGTGGCGTGAGTTGTCATGGACGCCAGAGTAGTGTCCCTTTGATCGCAAGAAACATTTTATGTTTTGGTTGGTTGGTTAACGTCGCACTCAGCAATAATCCAGCTATATGGCGGCGGTCTGTAAGAAATCGAGTCTGGACCAGGCAAACCGGTGGTCAACATCATGAGCATCCATTGACGTGTGTCAACCAGGTCAGTGAGCCTGACCACCCGATCCCGTTAGTCGCCTCTTACAAGGATGGGCGGTGGGGTAGCCCAGTGGTTAAAGCGTTCGCTCGTCACGCCGAAGGCCCGAGTTCGATTCCCCATATGGGCACATTGTGTGAAGCCCATTTCTGGTGTCCCCCGCCGTGATATTGCTGGAATATTGCTAAAAGCGGCGTAAAACCAAACTCACTCACTCACTCACTACTAAAGACCGGTTCTAACCCGGATCATCACAGGTCTATTGTGTTATGATCGTTGGTCGAATATCTTTTCGCTCTGATTATGTTACTGTGTAAGTGATCACTATACTGTCGCTCGTTGGTGTCAACAAAGTGGAAACGTATCCGGTCGTTACTCCTACATCGACTTACAAGCCACGTAATTACTGGAATACTGTTTAAGTTACGTCAGGGCGGTGGGATGTCCTAGTGAGTGAGTGAGTGAGTTTAGTTTTATGCCACTTTTAGCAATATTCCAGCAATATCACGGTGGGGGACACCAGAATTGCGATTCACATATTGTACCCATGTGGGGAATCGAACCCGGGGTCTTTGGCGTGACAAGTGAACGCTTTGACCACACGGCTACCCAAACGACCCCAGGATAAAGAAAGTTATATGAATGATACCTGTCAAATATATCCAGGAAAGCCCGGCGGGGGACACCAGAAATGGGCTTCGAATATTGTGCCCATGTGGGGATTCGAACCCGGGTCTTCGGCGTGACGAGCCAACGCTTTAACCACTAGGCTACCCCACCGCCCCTACCAAGATGAAAGTATCTAAGTATCTGAAAGTACTCAAACTGAAAGACAGTCTTTTCCGACAAAAAGGCAAGCTTACTGCTTTCTACAAATACGAATAGTCGAAGACAGCATACCGGTATGAGTTGTTCCCCAGTTGGTTTGATCTCGCACACATAACCGCCACTCCTACAGGCGTTTAAGCTGGATGTATTACCAAAATATATATGTTATGATATTAAGGTTAATATACACCATGATGATAGATGTTGTCGAATGTTAACATAAACGCTTACTTCATTGTGAACGTTCAACAAAGACCGCTATAGTTCATAATGAATGGACTGTTCAAACAGCTGACTTTCAGTACATGTTTACCTGAACAAACACGTACTAATGATGACATGGGGCAAATAAGCATGGCGATATACTTCTACAGTATCTTCGTACATGATATAAGGTCTGTCGTTCAGACCCTGAAACAAATATATCCAAGAAAACCCTTACTAGTCTAGGATATGTGGCAAGTCTAGATTTCCACAGTTTCGGGAAAATGAAGAAAGTCTCAGGGTTCCTTTCCATTATATTTTATTTTTTTATTATGAACTGGTTTTTTTTCTGTAAAATATGTTCATTTCAGAGACTAGATGTTAGCCTACTTCGTAAAGTGTGTGGCGTGAGTTGTCATGGACGCCAGAGTAGTGTCCCTTTGATCGCAAGAAACATTTTATGTTTTGGTTGGTTGGTTAACGTCGCACTCAGCAATAATCCAGCTATATGGCGGCGGTCTGTAAGAAATCGAGTCTGGACCAGGCAAACCGGTGGTCAACATCATGAGCATCCATTGACGTGTGTCAACCAGGTCAGTGAGCCTGACCACCCGATCCCGTTAGTCGCCTCTTTCGACAAGGATGGGCGGTGGGGTAGCCCAGTGGTTAAAGCGTTCGCTCGTCACGCCGAAGGCCCTGGTTCGATTCCCCATATGGGCACATTGTGTGAAGCCCATTTCTGGTGTCCCCCGCCGTGATATTGCTGGAATATTGCTAAAAGCGGCGTAAAACCAAACTCACTCACTCACTCACTACTAAAGACCGGTTCTAACCCGGATCATCACAGGTATATTGTGTTATTATCGTTGGTCGAATATCTTTTCGCTCTGATTATGTTACTGTGTAAGTGATCACTATACTGTCGCTCGTTGGTGTCAACAAAGTGGTAACGTATCCGGTCGTTCCTCCTACATCGACTTACAAGCCACGTCATTACTGGAATACTGTTTAAGTTACGTCAGGGCGGTGGGATGTCCTAGTGAGTGAGTGAGTGAGTGAGTTTAGTTTTACGCCACTTTTAGCAATATTCCAGCAATATCACGGTAGAGGACAAGAGACATGATCACACCCTGTATCAATGTGGAGAATCGAACGCTGGCCTCTGGCCTGACAAGTGAACGCTTTGACCACACGGCTACCCAAACGACCCCAGGATAAAGAAATGAATGATACCTGTCAAACATATCCAGGAAAGCCCGGCGGGGGACACCAGAAATGGGCTTCACATATTGTACCCATGTAGAGAATCGAACCCGGGTCTTTGGCGTGACAAGTGAACGCTTTGACCACAGGGCTACCCAAACGACCCCAGGATAAAGAAAGTTATATGAATGATACCTGTCAAACATATCCAGGAAAGCCCGGCGGGGGACACCAGAAATGGGCTTCACATATTGTACCCATGTGGGGAATCGAACCCGGGTCTTTGGCGTGACGAGCGAACACTTTAACCTCTAGGCTACCCCACCGCCCTGGGATGTCCTAGTGGTTGAGGCGTTCGATCGTCACTTGAATGACCCATCCAGACTTCATTATTTACAGACCGACGCCATGTAGCTGGAAAAATTGATGAGTGCGGCGTAAAACTAAACTAACTCGCTCACTCACTAATGACAGGTGTTCGCTTCCCCACATGGGTACAATGTGTGAAGCGCAATTCTGGTGTCCCCCGCCCTGGTATTGCTGGAATATTTCTACAAGCGAGGTAAAACATCACTCACTTACTCAATAATACGCGTTCTTGCAGGTTTCATGTACCAGAGAAACAATCATTCGTTGGAGAACTTGTGGTTTAGACCTCGCCAGTCAGTCAGTCCGCTTCGTGATGTTATAGCATGGCACCCGTGAAGATCCGGGTTAGAATTGATCTTCAGTAACCCATGCTTGTCGTAAGAGACGAATAAGTGGATCGGGTGGTCAGGCGCGCTGACTTGGTTGACACATGTCATCGTATCCCAGTTGCGTAGATTGATGTTTGTGCTGTTGATCATTGGATTGATCCGATTATTTACAGATTGCCGCCATATAGCTTGAATATTGCTGAATGCGGAGTAAAACTAAGCTCTCTCACTCACTTATAGCATAACGTATTACCACCACCGAATCTTATACCGATTTAAATAACTTTTTGTATATTACATACAATATTCATCAGTAATGCCATCATTGTGATATGGCTTACGCCGAACATGGATGAAACAGAAAGAGGCATTCAGCGGGAGAATATATTCACTGAATAATTAAATTGTGTAGACTGAGCGGTGGATGATCTGACTGTGTCAATGTTGTGCATTTTAAATGCATGTAAGATGTTACGTGACACAACCCATGTTGTTAACTGTAATCATACACTTCTTACTGCATGTATGTAAAACAATGCGTGGATAGCCATGCCGGCAGAGAATTGTTTCCTCTTTGTGATCCTGAATGCTCTTCGTGAGGTTTCGAATCCCAGATAAGCTTAAGGTCTTTCAGTGTATGCCCGTCCATTTACTGGACCAGTTGAGTATCTCTGAGTTTTTTCAGGATCCCACTGCCGGGACTTGACTACAATGAGTGTTATGTTGGCGCGTCCACGATTTGACAGTAAGGTACCTCTTAGAAGAGAGGGAAACTGATTCGTTAGTCTAAGGTGACCATTACACTCCTATGGGTGGAACTTCTTCCAGAAATAAATCAAACAGCAATTTGTCTGATAGTGTTACTCTTTTATTTACGAAATATTTCAGTTGTGCAATAAATGCATTGATCTATTTTACACCTTAGGTCGACTCTTGTATCAATATATTTACAACGGAACATTAAGACACTCGGATCCAGTTCTGATACCAGATACCGATCCTTGATTAGTACTCAGATGTTCCATCCTCGAAGGAAGATCGCGCGAAGCCAATTTCTGATGTCCCCAGCCGTGATATTGCTGAGATAGTGCTAAAAGCAGCTTAAAACCATAGTCTCTAACTCACACACTCATTCGAAGCGCTGCAGTGGACTGGTTTATATTATAGCATCGCCTCGGCTTTGTTCCGTCTGGGTTCGACTGTATTTCGTCTGAGATCGTGTATCTGTAGTAACAGCTTGGTCAGAATGTAATCTGCCACAAAGAACAGTTACAGCCACACGTCGGAATCTTTTGGAGGAAAAACCGTAAATGAAAAGATTAGCAACACAGTTAACAAAAGGCAACTGAACGGCAAAGTCAGACATCTGCACTTGTGTGAATGTCAGGTCAGAGCTGATCACACTCTGGCTAAACAGCATAGCCTGCACCAGACGTGGGAAAACACTCACGACGTAGATGATGGTCAGACTGAAAAACGTTGCTGTTACAGTCACAGACGTTTTATGTCGTCTTGTTGACCTGAAGGAAACACTCATGTTCCGAGTATGTTCTCTCAGTTTCAAGCCAATCTTCGAGTACAACACTGTCAATGAGGTCACGGTACACACCACGAATATAAACATCCACGAGGAAAATGCTAAGGATATCTTCATATCTTTGGCTGATTCAGTGTAGTCACATGTCCAACCCTTCACCAAACGCTCCTCGTTGTTCACATTCCATTTAATCTGTAACTTACTGTTTGTCATTATGAAGACAATAGGTAGGCCTGAGACGAAGCAGAAGATGATGCACCCAAGGGTCACCTTCCTGGCCAGATGCATTTTTAGCTGAGATGCATGAGGATGGCAGATTTTCATGAACCGTTGGACAGCTATTACAACATACAGAATGCCTGTAGTGGAGGAACTGAAGTAACACACAAAGGTGATGTATTTACACATTTCAGAGAGGTTAATATTTGGAAAGATTTTGGATATCAGAGACGCAGGTATTATTCCAATGGAGGTGATGAGATCAAGAACTGCTAATGTTTTGATGAAGAAACCAAAAATGTCGAGGTTGATTTTCTTGGTGTAGATGTAAAGGATAAAACAGTTTCCTGGGATCCCGACAAGCACCAGCAGCACGCAGAAGAAAGCGATGATGGGATGAAGCTTAATCGCTTCCCAGGGACTGATGGGAGCAACGGGCAGGTTCGTCGTGTTATTCATTGTTACCTGGAAATATATAATCACGGTGGAAGCATTTCAATGAAATTCGCAGACTTGTAGTTGAATCAAGGTTAGGGACGGATGGCGCTTATTCGCTTCCCAGGACTTATGGGAACAAACTAAGGCTCGTCGTGCAATTCGTTGTTATATAGAAATATATATTCCCCGTGGAAGCATTTCAATGACACTCTTAGACTTAGATAGCTGCATCAAGATTAGGGACGGATGAGTCCTATAGCTCTCAACCCATTAAACACCAGCCTTCCATTTATCAGGGATCAGGGGGGAGGAGTAGCCTAGTGGTTAAAGCGTTTGCTCGTCACTCCGGGTTCGATTCCCCGCATGGGTACAATGTGTGAAGGCCATTCGTGGTGTCTCACCGCCGTGAAATTGCTGGAATGCTGCGAATAATGCTAATAGTGGCGGAAATCTAAACTCACTCACTCACTATCAGGAGATATATCAAATTAATGACGATATATCGTTGCACAATGGCCTTCAGGGACTAACAGTAATATACTGAGATTGAGACAAGATAATTTGTCAGCTACATTTGCGAAAACAGATAACATTAACTGAAATCATCCACCAATATATTTATGCGGTACACAATGACTTTCTTATCAAACACCCTCAATCATGATAAACGTTTTAGACATTTAGTTCATCTAACGTTTTCGTCCCAGGTCCATTTCCTGTCTCTGAAAACATGGTGCATGTTTTTTTACACTAATGTAACGTGTGAAAGACACTACATCTGATAAAAATGAGATTAAGGTCCTGTACCACAGATTTATCGATGCCCCATGCAACATACGGTTTAAATGTCTTAACTTCTTCCAACAACAAATTTGCCCAAGCGAATTTGATAAATTCTGGTCATGGTTGTTGTTGAAGAGTTTACAATTAAGTTAACTAAATAGGTCATATTTACCTGAATATTTGATGTCATCTAATCGCACATCCACAGGATATACGATGTTCCACAGACTGTACGATGTCCCACAGGCTCTACGATGTTCCACAGGCTATACGATGTTCCACAGGCTATACGATGTTCCACTAGGCTGTACGATGTTCCACAGGCTATACAATGTTCCACAAGCTATACTATGTTCCACAGGCTGTACGATGTTCCACAGGCTGTACGATGTTCCACAGGCTATACGATGTTCCACAGGCTGTATGATGTTCCACAGGCTGTATGATGTTCCACAGGCTATACAATGTTCCACAGTCTGTGTTTCCAAGATGTTCCACAGGCTGTACGATGTTCCACAATGTTCTACGATGTTCCACAGGCTACTACGATGTTCCACAGGCTATACGATGTTCCACAGGCTATACGATGTTCCACAGGCTCTACGATGTTCCACAGGCTATACGATGTTCCACAGTCTGTACGATGTTCCACAGGCTGTACGATGTTCCACAGGCTCTACGATGTTCCACAGGCTATACGATGTTCCACTGGCTGTATGATGTTCCACAGGCTGTACGATGTTCCACAGGCTATACGATGTTCCACAGGCTGTACGATGTTCCACAGGCTGTACGATGTTCCACAGGCTGTGTTCCACAGGCTATACGATGTTCCACAGGCTGTACGATGTTCCACAGGCTGTACGATGTTCTACAGGCTCTACGATGTTCCACAGGCTGTACGATGTTCCACAGGCTCTACGATGTTCCACAGGCTGTACGATGTTCCACAGGCTGTACGATGTTCCACAGGCTGTACGATGTTCCACAGGCTGTACGATGTTCCACAGGCTGTACGATGTTCCACAGACTGTACGATGTTCCACAGGCTCTACGATGTTCCACAGGCTGTACGATGTTCCACAGGCTGTACGATGTTCTACAGACTGTACGATGTTCCACAAGCTCTACGATGTTCCACAGGCTCTACGATGTTCCACAGGCTGTACGATGTTCCACAAGCTCTACGATGTTCCACAGGCTATACGATGTTCCACAGTCTGTAAGATGTTCCACAGTCTGTACGATGTTCCACAGGCTGTATGATGTTCCGACGCTGGATACAAAGGAACTCTGTAATCATCATGCGCGTTCTGACTATGAAGTGGTTAACGTTCTTAACATCAGTTTCAACTTCCAGAACAACTGACATTACATAGGGTTCAGCACTTGGAATCAAGTTGGGAATTCAGTATTTTTATATATATTGTGGTTTCTGGGAATACGATTTGAATAAATCCATTTATGGTGTCATTTCTTTGTATGGGAGTTTGAACAATGACAGCGTTATGCTATATGCTTTTGATTTCCCTGTTGTAAGACAAGGATGTAATGGTGCTACGTATCCTGTGGTACGTCATTTCCCCTTTATTGACTGAACGAGAACTTGGTTCTTGTAACGATTTAAATCATAGAGTAGAGTTGAGTTGAAGTCGCATCGGCGTTGTTTCAGCCATAGTATAGCGACGAGACCAGGTCAGCACATACACACATTCTAATTACTAAGTTTAAATGCGTTTCTTAAAATCCATGCTTCTTCATTACACTGTTTCTACAACGAAAATACAGCACCAATTTAAAAACAAGCATTTAATCTCAAACATTACACAGTTACAATTTATGATACAGATCAATCTCTCTTCAGTAGTTCACAGTGAGATACCCGCTCACGCAGGAAAACAGATCTTGCAGATTTATTGCATCTTAATGTGAGTCACTTGCTTTTTTTGGAGGTCCATCTCCAGCCGTTTTAAGTAGATAGTCATGAGTGAGTGAGTGAGTGAGTATGGTTTTACGCCGTTTTTAGCAATATTCCAGCAATATCACTACGGGGGAACACCAGAAATGGGCTTCACACATTGTACCCATGTGGGGAATCGAACCCGAGTCTTCAGCGTGACGAGCGAACGCTTTAACCGCTAGGCTCCTCCACCGCCCCTAGATAGTCATGAGTAAACCTACTGTGGCCAATAGGACATCGTCGTAGAATTACCTCATCACTTCTCCATTGACAACCCAAGACTGACTTCAATCATAGATGTCAATGTTGTTGATACTACTGACGACAAGCCGACACCATAATGAACTCCAATCACATTAATAAAAATAGGAATAGGATTCAAACACATTTTATTTCAGTATCCAAAGTACATTTATATTTCATAACATTGTATAAAAAACATTTGACATTAAATGATTTATCACACATTTTATGGTCATATTTGATTCTATTTCCAGAAATTCTGATGTTCAGTCAGACTGATGCGCCTTTGTTGTGCAGAAATGACTGAGTGAGTGACTTTAGTTTTACGCCGCTTTTAGCAATATTCCAGCAATATCACAGTGGGTGACACCTGAAATGGGCTTCACACATTATGCCCATGTGGGGAATCGAACCCAGGTCTTCGGCGTCACGAGCGAACGCTTTAACCACTAGGCTACCCCACCGCCCTTAGCAGAAATGTGTGGCACGCGTATTAATTGAGGGTTAAGGCGAGGAACGTTTTGTAATACGCTCATTGATTCACTTTTGTTGGCAGATAATCCGTATACGCTAAGGGCACAACACCGAGGCCTAATTGTAATGATTTGAGCGAAGTCATAAATGAAACGTTGAATGAGGGATCGACCGAAATGCTTATGTTTTAATGCATTTGCTCAAAATAATTAATAACAGTTTTTAATAATTTCAAGTTTTAATTTGGCCCGATGTAATGACGGTGTGGATTGACAGCATATTTGCGACCGGGGGAGCTGTGATGCGATGTTGGGTCTCTGCTGCTGGAAGCCACAGTTTCGAATCCCAGAGTCATTTGTGAGCCAGAGTTTCAGAAACATGGGTTCAATAAATGTTGAAATGATAAGAATACTCCCTTTGACACCTATCCTGACAAAAAATATTTCTAATAATGGGCTTTTATGCCGCGACACTCACCTCCTCCACATTAGGTTATCGTTAGCCTTGACCTTGAGTAACATCACAATATCTCAAACTTAACTCATTGTGCCGTTTCCTTGAATCCGATTCTCTTAACCTTGACCACAGTTGGAGGTTTAGACTAGCGCTTAGTCCCAGAATATATATAATCTTTATAGTAACAAGTAAACCCATTTAACTTGAAAAGGAGCTCTAGTGAGTTGGGGAATTCAGAACCTGGGCAAATCTAGATTTGCTTCATTCAGGGCTTACGCACTGCAGAGGGGTCTAGGCAGTAGGGAAAATAACGGAATTGTGAGACAGACTATTGGAGGATCTACTCAACGCGCTTGAAATGATGTCATTCCTAAGGAATATATATATCTGTTTCCTATAATGAACACAATTAACACAATAGCGGAAATCAAAACAAACTGTCACTGATGCAAACAGATACAAGTACTGTAACAATGGAAGCTGTCTAAGCCGGCACACATCGGTTACCTACGACTGGAACTGAACCACTTTTGTCACTCTCGTATACATATCTCAGCTGCCGGTTTTGACAACCTTATTGTGCAGCATCGCCCGTGTATGACGGTCATGGTTTGAAAGTCTCGTACTCGTCCAAACCCGGAAACTGAAATACAATCTGCAGTCACGTTTGATACTGTTCCTGCTTTGATGCAAGCAGTCGCAACTTGTCTACCCCGGAAACTGAATCCAGATGAAGATTACATGAACCCATGCATCCACAACACAACAAATACAAGCTAAATGAAAACAACTTAACAACCACTCTGAATAGATATGTACAACTGGAAATCATACAAAAGACAATTTGTCCAGCTAAATAAACACCAGGGCCCGATCGTAGCGCTAAGATAATCATAACTCCGCCTAGATTATGGTGGTCTAGATTGATCAGCACTATGTCGAAGCTCATGGCTTTCACTGAAGTAAGGAAACGCCTGGACCAAGAATAGTCCCGGCCTACCTCCCACACAAAGCCGTGATAAAATAGAAATGCTGTTCAAAGTGGTCAGAAAAAAAACAACTGAAGGTATTCCATCTTTCTACGAATATATTCGCATTGGCATTATTGATTCCGCCGAGAGTCGAATGTCTGGTGGTACAGAAAAAGGCTTCCTTCTCTTGACGTTAACACGCATGAGAAGAATAAGTTGATGTCGGAACACTTTCGACGTGAAGCCGAAGACAAAGGGATTGACTATACAGTTTATAAAGGGCAGCATGATGATCACATCATGTACATAATGGATGTTGGCAGAGATTGCCGGGTCTTCAGGGACTACGCTATAGTACAATGTCTGCAAGACTCTTGGAGCAGAGCTGACCAGGAATATCACAGTCAGGCTGAAGAAGATTATGGTTGGATTTGTCACCTTCACTTGACTTCGACTTGAGATGGACATCCTTTTGAGTGTGCGCTTGTGAAGTCCTATATGCTTACTAATCAAGGAATAAAATACAACCAGAGTCACAAAGATAGCAATGAGTTCAAAAATAGCCCATGACGTGTATAGTGTCGCAATGTGGTTTGCGCGTTCATTGGCAGAGAAATAGCAAACGGATGTCCAGCACTGCTCTTTAGAAGATACAGTTACATTCTGCTTCTTGGCTGTAGTTATTAGAGCGTTCGGGGAACATGATACAACTGAAAATAGGGTGCAGCCCAGGAGTATCTTCTTAGCCCCTTGTTCCTTGAGCTGTGCTTGTCCATGTTTACATATTTTTCTGTACCTCTGTCCTGCTATGACAATGTAAAGTAACCCAGTGTTTAACCCAAAGAAGTGCTGTCCAAAAGAAAACCAAGAGCACAGAAACAGACCATCCTTGGTGTCAGGATTGAGAACGATATGCATGAACACCGGTAGCAGACACGACGTGCCGACAAGGTTGAGGATAACGAGGACCTTGATGAAGAAGCTGATGATAGGGATGTTGATCTTCTTGGTGTAGATGTAGAGGATGAGGCCGTTCCCTGGGATCCCCACAACCGCCAGCAGCACACAGAAGGAGAGGACGGAGGGGTAAAACCGTAGGCTACAGGGGTCAATACTGTGTGTTGTATTGTTCATCCTTAAAGTTGTCTTCCTGGGAAAAAATAACAAAGTGTTAAGTAAGTAAGCAAACTGACAGTAATATGTCAAAACATTCTAGATCGATTAGCATATGTTAATGGTCGACAACATCCTTACTTACAATAACA